TGTTGTAGAACCTGCAGGTCTGCGATACACTGGTGTGTACTGGATTGATGGTTGCCCCACATCATTACCTTGGACGTACCACACTGCAGGTCTGGTATTCACTGGTGGGTACTGGATTGATGGTTGCCCCACATCATTACCTTGGCCAGATTGCTCTGTCGTAGAACCTGCAGGTCTGCGATACACTGGCGGGTACTGGATTGATGGTTGGCCCAATCGCTCTGTTGCAGAACCTGCAGGTCTGGTATTCACTGGTGGGTACTGGATTGATGGTTGGCCCACATCACCTTGGCCAGACTGCTCTGTTGTAGAAACTGCAGGTTTGTTATTCACTGGTGGGTACTGGATTGATGGTTGCCCCACATCATTACCTTGGCCAGACTGCTCTGTCGTAGAACCTGCAGGTCTGCGATACACTGGCGGGTACTGGATTGACGGTTGGCCCAATCGCTCTGTTGCAGAACCTGCAGGTCTGGTATTCACTGGTGGGTACTGGATTGATGGTTGGCCCACATCACCTTGGCCAGACTGCTCTGTTGTAGAAACTGCAGGTTTGTTATTCACTGGTGGGTACTGGATTGATGGTTGCCCCACATCATTACCTTGGCCAGACTGCCCTTTTGTAGAAACTGCAGGTTTGTTATTCACTGGTGGGTACTGGATTGATGGTTGCCCCACATCATTACCTTGGCCAGACTGCTCGGTCGTAGAACCTGCAAGTCTCGTATTCACTGGAATGTACTGGATGGATGGCTGCCAAATTTCTTTTTCCTGGACAAACATGTCTGGAGAACTTGATTGTGCATCAACAGATGGGTACTGGAAAATTGGAGTCTCCTTTTCAATAGTCCCAGCAGACCAGACTATGGCATTTGAGGATGGAGAACRTTGAGGTGAAGAGTCTACAGCTGGGAACGGGGCTGATGGAGGCCAGAACTTTTGACTTGTTAGGCCAAAGTAAGATGGCAGCACTGCTTGAGGCATATTAAAACGCGAGTAGAGAAAACCATGTCGCTTGTTGCCTAAGGACTGTCCTTCACCCTCATCAAAATTTAGAGAMTGGTCATSAAAATCATGAAGGTTTTGTGACGCAGAAGCAGTTCTATAGTTTCCATCTGTTCAAGTAAATAAGTACAAGTGAGTTTAAAAACCTATACACCACAACAACATARGAGAAGAGACCTGCTTACCTCGCTCCAATGCAAATCCAAAACTGCTGTCCAAGATTAAAGACATCCAAGAAATCCTGCAGGAGAAAAGAGTAAATTAAAAAAAGTTTGATGACCTTTAAAAGTGTCAAAGAGATACCAYGTGCAAAACTACATACCACAAAAGGAGTGCAGGAGCCATGATTGTTGACTGAAAAGCAGCACCCAGTACTTTTCAGATGGTTCAGCCAAGGTTTGGACAAGAGAGTGATCTCTGTCCTATAGTACTCACCTGTTTGTCTCTACCATATATTTGTTCCCCTAGTTGTTACCAATGAGGAGCATCAACAGCAGCTGCTGGGAGAGCAATTAGTGTTAATTATTTACAGGTGTGGCAGAGWTCAATGTCAAAACTCCCAAACTAATCAGTGATGGTGAATCTGAATACACTAAAGCTATGTGGAACCTTTACAATAGGTGTTTGCCTGACTCTTTACAAATGTTGGCACATGAGCTTGGCTTTTATAAGAACCCACTTCAATAAGTCAATAACAGTCAAATGAAGAGATTCATGTTGATACCTACTCATGCAAAAAACTCAATTACAGTGACAAATGTAAACAACCAGATTATAATGTGTTTTCATTCCTTGCTGTATTTACCACAGAAAAGTAATTTATGCTTCAAAGCTTCTGTGACTTTTATGAAGCTGTTCACACGCAAATCCATTTCAGGATGAGTGACAGCTTTATTTATTGGTTAAAGCAGATTATTACAGCAGCCCAGAGGAGGCGGACATTATCCTGAAATCCTTTCTTTCTTTCTTTCTTTCTTTCTTTCTTTCTTTCTTTCTTTCTTTCTTTCTTTCTTTCTTTCTTTCTTTCTTTCTTTCTTTC